TTCTTAATGGTTTAGCCCTTCATAAGAGTAAACAGCTAAGCACAGTAGAGGGTCAGGACCAGATGTAATGGCTGTAATAACAATTGCTACATGGGCAGTGTGATTTATCAGTTGATGAACAAGGCTGACTGAGAAAAGACCCCACTAATGGTCAGCCACAGCAAACACTGGCCTGTTGTTACAAAGTTGTGGGAGGGGCAGCTGGACAAACTAAATCTCTCACGGAGCAAACCTGCTGCTTTTAAATTGGCAAAGTAAAAATTACAGAAAAATAAATTGCTGATAGAAATGCTTTCTCAGGGTTAAACAAGACAGAAACATTTGTCACAGAGCTGTTTGAGGGGGAAAAAGTGGACATGTAGACAACTACAGGGAGTTGCACTAGAGAACTTAGGCCTGACAAGGTATTCATCAAGGAATTGGGTAAGGCAAATACATAGTGAGACTCTTTTTAAATCCATGTTTCTCTAGCTGTAGTTTGTATTTTGGTTTACAAACATTGCCCAGTCAGTCAAAGAGAAGGAAAAAAAATATCCAGTCAGACTTACTGCTTAAGAATGCTTGCTTCATGGAGAATGGAACCTGCTCAGGTATGTGCAGAATTCAGCATATAAGGGCTGATCAGTAAAGAGAGATGCTTGGAGAGAAAACAGGTATGTAACCATCCTCTAGGAGCAAGAAAGTTGTTGCAGGCATGTAGAGGCAGAGGCTAGTGTTCTACAACCACCTCTGTCTTTCAGTATTCCAAGGTAAACTGTATTGCTTGTGAAGCATTTAGGAGGACATTCCTGTTAATGTACTTCAGACAGTACATAGCATTGTAGCGTGATTAAACATGTAAATAAAGAAAATTCAAAGTTAATCAAGTTAATTTATATTGGCTTTCCATTACCATTTTGTCAAGGGTGATGGTGAGCCTATGCAGTTTATATATTTTTAATTGTATTTTAAAAACTGTTCATGTGCTTGACTTGTAGGATTAAATTTTAGAGGAAGAGAAGACCCTGAAGGGGTTTGAAGTGGTACCACTAGCTTGCTTCTTTTCAGAGTGTGCTTAAGGCTTCCAGCTTCAAGCAGAAAGAGGAAAGGTGTTCTTTGTTGTCTCTGAACTTCTGGCAAGAGAAAAGAAGTTACAGATGATAAGTGCTGCTGACTTACTCGACTTGCTGACTTTGCAGGACTCAAATCAAGCCCTGAACTCTCCAAAGTCTAAACATAAGTAGAGGATATTTTTCAATATAGCTAATAGAAATTTTTAAAGGCTGTATGTTATGTATGTTTGTAAATTAAATAATATCATTTCATTGCACTAATAAATAATAACTGAACCAAATACTGGTTTTAAGGAGCATGTGGGAAGGGGGAGGGAGGGCACATAAGACCTTGGAGTTCAGCAAGCTGTTTCTGCCTTGCCTTGTAAATGAAGCCACACCATGCTACCTGTAATCCTGGGTCAGCGCTGACCCACCCTGTTTGTTCTGCGAATTTCGGGGTGAGCAGGGAAGCCAGGCAGTAAGACCTGAGTGAGGATCCAACTGCTCTCTTCTTCCCCTTCTTAAGACTTACATCAGCTGCTTCTTGGGTGGATTGTACTACCTGAGCCACACGTGCTACGTGTGCTACATGTTCACATACCATGTGTAGCCCAGATGAAGTTTCATAAGGCTGCCTGTCGCAAGGATTTTCTCTGGGACCAGCTTTGCTCTCACCAGGGAGCAGCTGCTCCCTCTCTTGCACCCCCCAGCGATCAGGAGAGCTGAACTTGCCAGGGTGGGTCACAGAAGAGAGTGACCAAAAAGCTCTGCCATGTGATTATCTCCACTCTGTATTTATTCTGCCTTTGTGTTACCATTTTACAGGATTTTTAAGACAAGTAAGTTTATGGAGACTCTCGTATCTTTAAGTTTACAGGGTACACAGGAGAGCTTACAGCAACCCTACAAGAGTAAAATACTATAGGTAAAAGGCAATACACAGTGACAGGAAAATGTGTGAGTAAACCACAGTTACCACTGCAGTTTATGTGAGCAAAGATTTGTTTCACTCTCTATTTTTTTTTTCTTTCAATAAATAGTTCTGCATGAAGTTAAAGCAGTAAAGCGTGGTCTCTTATGGATTTGCATTTGGAGATTGTCCTTGTCCATGCAAACTGAGCTCACACTGTACATCTTCCCTTAGCAGGTGCACTGCTCAGCCCTCTCTCCTATTCCTGAGTACCTCTTGTCAGGAAACTTAAAGAAACTCAGTATATATGAGACCTTTATCCACTTAGTCAAGTTGGATTAAAACCAGTTAAATTCACAATGTATCAATGCAGCAGTGCAGCTGACTGACAGACAAGCACTGCAGGAGGTGCTGCGTAAACCTTGCTTCTCTGGAAATGAAGAATAGAAAACCACGAGTATAAAGTTACTGCCCAGCATTTAACTATGCAAACATTTGATGTGCTTTAAATTAGCTATTTATGAATCTTTCATACATTACTTTTACTAGACTAATAGCTCAGGACTGCATCCCAGATTACACCAACACTTTTTGGAAGAGACATGGGGCAGTTGACTGCAGCCCAGTGAGAAATGCAGCCTTTTTTTGGATACTCCTCAGTAAGGACTAACGAAGGAATTCGCTGGCTTTGTGGCTGCAAGTCCCCAGGCAGTCGCACCACTCCAGTCCTGTAATGCCAAACCTCTGATTTGTTATTTCAGGTAAGATGGTTTTTACATCACTGTTATAACAGTACCGATTAATGCTAACTGGCTTCATTCAGTTGCTTTATCATTATTACAGATCCAGTATTTGAAGTTTTAAGACAACTTACTATCAGTTTGGAATAGCCAGCTGTGTCATTTCTGTCAGTCGTTACTGAGTCTTCGATTAAGCCGGCTATTGTTCGAGTTACTGATGCTCTAACATAATTGCAAGTGTGTCTTTAAGTGATTAAAATTTAATCTGACCATTCAGACATGGCACAGCTCTAACGGAAGAGGTAAACGTGTTCAAAGTTTAATTTTTGCCTGGGATGGGCAACTCAGAAATTCTGCGGCTCCTGACCCTTTTCACATCCTCCCAGGCACGAGTGACCACGGAGGCGGTTGGAGACCCAGTGCCAGCTCAGAAGGACAGGGACCTTAGTGCCTGTTTGTTCATTATTATGTTTCCTCTTTGGGGATTCCTGCCGTTTTGCAGGTATTTCTGATGCTCTGCATCTCTCTGAGCCATGTCCCACCACCGACTCTCCAACCAGTAACCAAGAAACTGTGTTTATCCTGAACAACCTATTCAACGGGTATCCCAGTGTGGATGGAGCCCTCGCTGCCGACAGGATGCTTTCCTGCAGTGGTCACAGCTGTATGGAGACACATGGAGGTAAGAGCCACCATAGGATGCTGTGGGCTCCCAGGGATGCCGTGGGCTCCCAGGGATGCTGTGGGAACCCAGGGATGCTGTGGGATGCTGTGGGATGAGCAATATCCCAGGAAGACTGTGGGATTCCAAAGATGCTGCAAGATGAGTGGGACACGTGGGGCTGTGGGAGCCCAGGGGTGCTGTGGGAGCCTGGTAGTGCAGTGGGGTGCAGAGGTGCTGCGGGATGAGCGGGACCCGGGGGTGCTGCGGGACCCCAAGGAACCCGGGGTGGTGCGTGTGCGGGAAGGTGCCGCCGCTCGGGCAGGCGGGGCCGGCAGAGGTGAGCACCC